CGCGCGCGCGGAGAGAAGGTGGCAGGGCCTCTGGCAGGCTCCCCGCTGCTCTCTGCTTCCCTCTAAGTTCCCAGGAAGACAGAGGGGCCCTGCCTTGCCCAGACATCCTGGTGTTGGGGATCCATCCCCCCTCCCTCCGTGGTTGTGTATCTGCGCCAGCCCTGGAGACCCTCGTTCCAGCTGTGGGACGGGAGGCCCGACGGCCCCCTGGAGGCAGCAGCCCCCAACCTGTGACTGTGAAGGCCCCAGGGCTGGTTCACCCAACCTCCTGGCCTCTCCAGGGAGGTACAAAAAGGGAGGGGGTCATTCCTGGCCCCTCACCCCACCCCTTAGACACCCATGGACAGAAAGGCTAGGGTCCCTCAGGTCACCTTTGCATGCTGGCGGTGGCAGTCTCCACATCAGCCCTCGTGGGAGGACAGAGGCTTTCTCCCTCCACGTCCTGTATCCCACCCCACCCCACACCGGGTGTAAATTAGCCCGAAGGTGCAGTGGCCAGGCCCCCGGGTGCCAACAAGCCCAGCGTGGGGTACTGGAAACGAACCGGCCACAGCAAGAAGCTGCAGAAGCCCAGGCTCCCCGAGGACTCCCGGCAGGCCTCCCTCTCCTCTGTCCAGCAGTGGGCCGGGCCTGCTTCTGTCTGTCTGTCTGTCTATTTGGTTCCAGACAGCTCTGGCCTTGGCACCCTGAGCTCAGAAGACCCCCCAGAGCTCGCCAAGGCTGTTTCTGCAGCCAGACAGGTGGAAGCTGCCCCGTGCCCAGGCACATTTGCCCAGATGCCCTGAGTCCCTCCCCAGGCCTCACCCCTCACCCCACCGGGGCCAGGACAGCCCATTTCTGAGGCTCCAGGCCCTCTCAGCCCCGTGAGTGAAACTGGAAGTCACAGTCTGGTGGCTCAGCCTACTCAGGGTCAGCCAGCTATGCAGGTTCTGGCAAATCCCTGCTTTTCTGAAAAAACTGGGAGATCTGGCAGCTCTGGCCCCAGAGCTGTATGGCCCCCCAGCCTGGGCAGGGGCTCTCAGGTCACTGCAGCCCCCACTAGCCCTTTCGTCTTCCACTCGCCTGCTTCCCTCACCTGCATGACCTTCACAGCCCCACATGCACCTGAGTTTGCACCCCTGAGACTCAGGTACAGAATGGGAGGAGCAGGACTGCATGGGGTAATAGGGTGGAACGCGCCCCCTGGGAATTAGGCCCCAGCCCCGCAGACTGCAGAGGGCTTCCCCGGCCCTGGGACTCAAACCTCTAGATCCCATCAGGCCACAGGGAGGCAGGCGGGGCCTCAGTTCCAATGAGTGGTGTTCCTGCGTTGGGCTGTGTGCAGGCCTATCCCTGGACCTCCGTGTGATGTGTGGCATTCAAGGCACCACGTCCGGGCTCCCAGCCTCTGGGAAACTGCTCCACTCACAGCCCTGCTGAAAGGACAGACTTTGGCGGCCATACTGAGACCTTGTACAGCGCATACCCTCTTCCCAGCTGGTTGGTGACAGAGAGCAATGGCCCTGGGGCCAGCTGGTGGCTTCAAGTCCAGCTTTCACCACCTCCTGGTGGTGTGACCTTGGCAAGGGCCTTGCCATCCTTGGCTTCCCTCCCCAGCAGGGTGCCAGCCATCCGTGCCTGCTTCAGGGAGCTGCTCTGGGCATCCTTAGAGCAGCTCCCGGGAGGGAAGATGCACTCGCTAAGCTCCGCGATGACCCTCACATGACAGGTGTGTAAACAGGCCTTCACAGTAAGAGAACCGCCTGGGGGCTAAAAGGTGCCGCCAGGCCTGCCCGGCTCTGGCCCAGGCTCCGCACCAGACAGCACAGCACACACACACACGCACACACACACACACACACACACACACACACACGTGCGCGCGTGCGCACGCACCCCCGCCTGGCCCTTCTCAACTCCCGGGACACCCGCCCAGCCTCAGCTGCTTGGTCCTCGGAGGGCACTCGCCCTCGAGCAGGTGGCTGTCACTCCTCTTGCCAACTCTTGTCCCTGTTCTGTTGCTTCACTCCGTCCCATGCCTCCCTCCCTCCCCCACCCTGCCTGCCCTCACCCCCCTGGAGGCCCATGTCCTGGCCAGTCCTGCCAACTGCCCACTCCCCTCCTCTAAGGCTCAGGCAGTGTCATTCCAGGAGGAAACATGACCAAGAAGCAATTGCCAGGGGAGTGGGGGCTGGGCCGTGCTGGGAAGGGCAGAGGTGGTTTCTTGTCAGTCTTTGCAGTAAATCCCCATGAGGAGGAGACTGGTTTTGGCTCATGACTGATAGTCCCGCCTGGGCTGAGCTGACCTCAGTCCCTCGCCCGTCCACCGGTGCGTGGCATGATGTGTTTCCTGCCCTGCTGCCCCTGGGTGACGGGGCGTTAGAACAGAACTCCAGCATCCCCGCCCCCCACAAGCTGTGTGCTCCCAGCTGTGTCTCCCTGAGGTTTGGTTGGGGATAGGGGCTTTTCTGACTCATCAGGCAGGAGGGCATCTTTGCCTGGTTTCCACCAAGGCCCCAGGGTCGTTGCTGCAGAGCATCAAAGCTAAACAGGAGCCTCAGAGGAAGCCGAGCCCCTCACGCCCCTCACCCATCTCCAAGCCACACCTATGATAGTTCTCTCCATCCCCAGTGCCACCACAGCCTCAGCCCCACTGTCCCTGCCAGCTCCCTCTCTGGTCTCCCCGCCCCTTCCCCGTACCTCCTCTCCCAGGCCTGCCCAGCACAGAACCAGGACAACTTCCCAAAATGCAGAGCTGATCAAACCCTCCTATCAATGGCCCCCAGGAGCCCCCCAGGT